GTTCCTCATCAGCTCAAAGTGTCAGTACTTCGTAAACTTTTGTCCGAAAAGCGGAAAATGTATTCAGACGCTCGAGACCGCGAACGTGAGGCGTGGGCTGCCGCTCGGAAACAAATGCGCAGTCAGGCATTCAGGTACGACGTGCTGGATGAACTAGCAGCGTTTCAGCAACTGCAGGCCAAGTACACGACGTTCTTGGTGCTCCACAGCATCACAGAGACGGAGATGGTGCGCCTCATTCACCAGACTCAGATCGAGGCCTACGCCGCTGAGTCTGCTGCCACGAATCAATTATCACACCGCAATAGCATCCAGGATGTAGTAGGGGGCCGTCGCAAGAGCCTACTGCCTGGAGTAGTGACCAACACGTAAAATATCTTGGCAACTTCAACTTTTGAAGACCATCACTCTTGACTAACATGTAGAAAATCGTACCTAGTCGAGTTCACCATCTGAATTTTGAAGGGTGGCGGGAAAACTCTTGCCCTCATTTTATAACTGGCGCCATGATGCCGCCCCCGTCCGTGCACCGCTCGCCGCTCAAGCGTTTGTCGTTGTCTCCGCCTGTGTGGAAGGATCAACTGCGTCAACGTTGCCTCCAACGCCTCAAGCGAGATCGCAGCGAGTTGCTGGCCAAGTTGCGGCGACCAGGAGCGCGCACGAGCGTGTCGGAGGAGATACAGCGCCTTGTGGCTCACGAACAGCACGACGCCTCGCTCTCTACTTCTACTGCCGCGTCAGTGGATGATCTGCTGCTCATGGGACGCCTAAAGGAGAGCGACTACTTGGAGATCGTCCATGCGTTGGAGGACGCGCTGCGTCAGGAGACTGAGGAGGAGAAGGACGAAGACGAGGAACTGCGTTTGGCTGAGCACATGGCCGAGCTCGAAGACGCTGAACTGGAGGCTATGCTGGCCAATATGGACCTAATGGACGAGTCACAGCAACCACAGCAGTCGAGCCCTGAAGAGCAGCACCAGGAATTTATCTCTGTGTTGTGCCCCATCTGTAAGGCTGACTATCTGCGAGAGCACGCGGACACTCAGACGTCCGTGCCTTTCGTCACGTGCGGCTGTGGCTTCACCTTCCACGTCAAATACGTGTACCATTCAGTGCTCGAGGACTTTCAAGACAAGATCGTTAACGCCTTTATGACACATCGGTGAGATCTGTTGAGTCACTGAGACTATGGGTTCTTGACTGACCTCTTTTTGTGTTTGATTCTGTCTGCAGTGACTCGTGCTGTGCTGATCCTACATTCGAAAAGAGGGCGACGCTGGATAGTGATGCGGACGTGCTGTGCATCAAGTGCGCGCATTGTGGCTGCGACCATGCGCTGCCCTGAATCTGCTATAGATTGCGGACTGAAGCGTTATTTATTCCCAAGTCTCGTCCTAAAAAGAATACATTTTACTTCATCTTGTTTCTTTTCCTTTCCAGTCTGCACACTAGATCGACGGCAGGAAGTGCGCCATCATGAGCGCTCCAATAAACAAGAGTCCAAGTAGCCCCGGAGTGAGCAGCCCCCAGATCGGCCAGAAGGCGCAGATATAGCAAAATGCAGCCACAACCCCTACAATTGTGGCTGTAGGTATCATCCGGGGGCAGTAGACGCTCCATTCGAGTTTGATTCGCTTGATGTAGGGCAGATACACGGCCAGATACGCCGTGATGCAGATGTTGATGCCCGTACAGACCAACGCCACCTGGAAGAAGCCCCTGCAACAAAAGAATGAGCTTCTATTTATCTTCACATACTGTATATCGCCTCTCACCGTTTGACGCGTGGGTCTGTGATAATAACGCGAAAGAAATCGGTCCCGTAGGCCACAAGCCCAGCGGCCGCAACCCACAGGAAGGCGTGCAGTCTTGTGCTCCAGAGTGCCGCCTGCTGAGACCGACTCACACGCGACTGCGTCTGCTGCTCCCCGTCGCTGTCACTGTCATCGCAGTCGCTCTCATCACTGTTGTGGTCGTGCGCGGGCGGCACTCGCGTGTACGATG